GCATTGCATAGCAGTTTATATAAAAAAAAAAATCTAAAAAGCAATGCCAGCCTTTTTGGTTTGATACAGGGGTAAAAACCGCACAGAAAATCTGTTACTTCATTGAGAGCTGATGATTAATTCATAAAAGCAAACTTCAGATTAGGCTGGTTTGACTGATTCTGTGTCTTATGTTTTGGTTTTGAAGTTTCTGCAAACAGGTGTATCTGAAAATATCAGATCAAGGGTCTAAAAAATTTCTTTTTTTCTCTCTGGGATCTCCAGATTGGTGAAGCTACTAAACAAACACCCCCTTGCTTGACTTTGAAGGGCTGAAGATGGGGATTTATAACCTGTTGAGTCATGAGTTTTCTTACAAATTTTATCCTAAAAATCAAAAGAAATCAGGAAAACCTCAATTTTTATCAGGTCTTTATGATTCAGTTCAATTTCGATTCAATTCAGTTTATTTATATAGCGCCAAATTCACAACACACGTCATCTCAAGGCACTTTACAGTTCAACCAGATCATACAGTCAAATTGATTCAAAGTTTTCTATCTAAGGAAAAGCAGTTGATTGCATTGACTCATTGACTCAAATACAATCCCTCACACCAAGCATGCTTGTAGCGACAGTGGAGAGGAAAAACTCCCTTTTAACAGGAAGAAACCTCCAGCAGAACCAGGCTCAGTGTGAGCGGCCATCTGCTGAGGCCGACTGAAAAACTGAAAAACTTTTAAAACTGTAAAGGGTAACACTTACAGCTATTTTTTATTTTTTGGTTTAAACAATAATTTTATGTGATACACATTTGTTAGTATTTCTGAAATTGATTTAATTATTGTTATTATTTGATCATTTCTGAAATTGGAATTGTTTTATTTATTATTATTTGTTCTTTTGATTCATTTATATTATTTGTTAATTTGATTTATTTATTTATTTTTTTGTTACTAATATTATTGTCTGAAATAAATAAATATTCATTCTTCATAGATGTAATTTGTCTGTTTTACTAGTAATTATGCAAAGTTTACACAATCTTTGTTTTTCCTTAGCCCGCCTGGCCAAGGCCAACCAGTTGGCCCCACAGGCTTATGTACATAAGAGGTGGAAGAAAAAAATTCCTGTACTATATTATAATTTCATTTAGCAATAACTCACATTCATATTTAAATAAGTAAACAACAGACAGAGTGATGTATTTCAAGTGTTTGTTGCTGCATTATTATGATGAGAACCCAAAAGATTGGACTGGAAGTAAAAAAAAACTCTATAAAAGCATTATTTGTTCACATAAGGGTAAATATTCTCACGAGAACACAATTCAGGTGGCGTTACCGAGGCTTTTAATAAGGTTTCATATTTATTTGTTGATCTAGAGTGTTCTTCAAAGACATCTTACAGTAGATGATGTGTCCTTAAAAAGCAAAAGAACGCTGTTATTTACATAGATGAATAAGTGATGAAAAATACGAAATGTAGGGTAAGTAAATAGTGGTATTTTGTACAAAAAATGTAACTAAGAATTAATTCACACAGCAGCCTAAGGTGACCCAAATCTGATTTTTTTGGCCCATATTCGACCTGTATATGATCTTTTCATAGCAGTCTGAATAAAATAGATCCAATGTGACCCAGGCAACTTGGCTATGAGGCCCTGAAACCGATACATATCTGATCTTTTTAAATGCAACCTGTGTCTGAACGGCCAGGTGGTATTCGTCCAACCTGAACGTCATTAATAGCCTACATAGGTCACTATCCTGCGTCAAGAGAAACAAAAACCATTGTGGATGATAATGCAGAGAGTATTATTTATGTTTAACCATCTTGAAAAGTTGTGTTTTTAAGGTTGGGAAAGATTGCTAGATGCGCTCCAGCACTACCATCCATGTTTACTTCTGTAAACACAGAGCACGCTTGCTTGTGACATCATTGCGTCCTCCACTGTGCATGTGGGAAACTTGCGTTGTATGAATGCAGTTCACACAGAGATCACATTCAAGTTGCATATATTTGGAAATGTGAATGTCAATGCAAAAAAAATCAGATTTCACAAAAAAAATCTGAATTGAGTATTAAGACCTGCAGTGTGAACGTAGCCTAATACATTTGTTTATAACAGCCTCACTGTATATGTCTATATGGCCCATATGTACACTCACCGGCCACTTTATTAGGTACACCTGTCCAACTGCTCGTTAACACTTAATTTCTAAGCAGCCAATCACATGGCGGCAACTCAGTGCATTTAGGCATGTAGACATGGTCAAGACAATCTCCTGCAGTTCAAACCGAGCATCAGTATGGGGAAGAAAGGTGATTTGAGTGACTTTGAACGTGGCATAATTGTTGGTGCCAGAAGGGCTGGTCTGAGTATTTCAGAAACTGCTGATCTACTGGGATTTTCACGCACAACCATCTCTAGGGTTTACAGATAATGGTCCGAAAAAGAAAAAACATCCAGTGAGCAGCAGTTCTGTGGGTGGAAATGCCTTGTTGATGCCAGAGGTCAGAGGAGAATGGCCAGACTGGTTCGAGCTGATAGAAGGGCAACAGTGACTCAAATAACCACCCGTTACAACCAAGGTGGGCAGAAGAGCATCTCTGAATGCACAGTATGTCGAACTTTGAGGCAGATGGGCTACAGCAGCAGAAGACCACACCGGGTGCCACTCCTTTCAGCTAAGAACAGGAAACTGAGGCTACAATTTGCACAAGCTCATCGAAATTGGACAATAGAAGATTGGAAAAACGTTGCCTGGTCTGATGAGTCTCGATTTCTGCTGTGACATTCGGATGGTAGGGTCAGAATTTGGCGTCTACAACATGAAAGCATGGATCCATCCTGCCTTGTATCAACGGTTCAGGCTGGTGGTGGTGGTGTCATGATGTGGGGAATATTTTCTTGGCACTCTTTGGGCCCCTTGGTACCAATTGAGCATCGTTGCAACGCCACAGCCTACCTGAGTATTGTTGCTGACCATGTCCATCCCTTTATGACCACAATGTACCCAACTTCTGATGGCTACTTTCAGCAGGATAATGCGCCATGTCATAAAGCTGGAATAATCTCAGACTGGTTTCTTGAACATGACAATGAGTTCACTGTACTCAAATGGCCTCCACAGTCACCAGATCTCAATCCAATAGAGCATCTTTGGGATGTGGTGGAACGGGAGATTCGCATCATGGATGTGCAGCCGTCAATATGGACCAAACTCCCTGAGGAATGCTTCCAGCACCTTGTTGAATCTATGCCACGAAGAATTGAGGCAGTTCTGAAGGCAAAAGGGGGTCAAACCCGTTACTAGCATGGGGTACCTAATAAAGTGGCCGGTGAGTGTACATGTGGTCTCAAAGTTTAAATCAGTGTAATTTTAAACTGCAAATGGTTTCACAAGGATGTAACAGAAATATGTGCATTTAGATGTCGCAACTAGTTATTTCTATTCCACTTTCCATTATTTACACTTTTGATGAAACATTTGTACATTTCTTTTTTTGCTAATTCATCTGTTAAATGAGGCCAAAATCACAAAAATCCCCTGAAAAAGCAGAAACGAAATTGGATACTTTTCTTTAGAAAGCCCTTTTCTTTAGAAAGTGCGGAAGAGGATTAGGGCCACTGGAAAAAAAAAAAGTTAACTGATTTTTAAATTTTATTTCAGTTTAATATGGGAAAAAAGTCAGAATTCTGACTTTTTTTCACAGAATTCTGACTTTAATCTCAGAATTCTGACTTTTTTTCACTGAATTCTGACCTTAATCTTAGAATTCTGAATTTTTTGTCTCAGAATTCTGACTTTTTCTCAGAATTCTGACTTTAATCTCAGAATTCTGACTTTTTTTCACAGAATTCTGACCTTAATCTCAGAATTCTGACTTTTTTTCACTGAATTCTGACTTTAATCTTAGAATTCTGAATTTTTTGTCTCAGAATTCTGACTTTTTCTCAGAATTCTGACTTTGATCTCAGAATTCTGACTTTTTTCTCAGAATTCTGACTTTAATCTCAGAATTCTGACTTTTTTTCTCAGAATTCTGACTTTAATCTCAGAATTCTGACTTTTTTCTCCGAATTCTGACTTTAATCTCAGAATTCTGACTTTAATCTCAGAATTCTGACTTTTTTCTCAGAATTCTGACTTTAATCTCAGAATTCTGACTTTTTTCTCAGAATTCTGGCTTTAATCTCAGAATTCTGACTTTAATTTAAGAATTCTGACTTTTTTTCTCAGAATTCTGACTTTTTTCTCAGAATTCTGACAGCTAACAAACATGTTAGCATCAAGCCATAGCCATGTCTGTTTTAGAGACTAGCTCTCTTGTTTTAATGACCTTCTGCTCCTCCATTAATGAGGGGACCCCTCTGGCACGTAAAAAGTTGCCTAATTCCGTCATTTTCCACCAATGTGCCACTGGCCAGCTCAAACAACTCACATCTTTCTCAGTGAAGCTGAGTACTCCACATCTCTTCCTTCATGGTGCCCATCTACATTAAGATCCAAAATTCGGAGATTAAAGTCAGAATTCTGAGAAAAAAGTCAGAATTCTGACTTTTTTTCCCATGTTAAACTGAAATAAAATTTAAAAATCAGTTAACTTTTTTTTTTCAATGGCCCTAATCCTCTTCCGTAAGAAAGCCCATTGTCTTTTGTATTGTCCGTTGTGCACACTGTTGTTAACCACTATGGGTCTAAGTCAACAATCAATTAATCAATTTCTTTATTGTCAACTACAATTTGTATTCTAATCAAAGTAAACAAAGTTCTTGGTATTGCATTTATATTGTATATTTCCGAGTCAGATCTCTGGACTAAAGCTAGAACTCTAGTTCATACAAAGATTTGAAGCATTTTGTTAAAATATTGACCGTGCCGCTAACCAACGCCCTAATCTTTGGTTTAGATTTCTAGAGAATTGGACTACCAGAAGAAGAATGGAGATGATATTTTACATCCTTTGAAACGTACATCCTAATTTTATGCTCTTGGTTCATTTTGCTCCCTCAGGACCGAGTACCACCTGTACGGAGGAGTCCTGCTACCATCAGGGAGTCTGTCTCCAGCAGTGGGAGGGCTTCACCTGCGACTGCACCATGACGTCCTATGGAGGCTCATTTTGCAATGACCGTAAGTCGTTTCTTGTTTCTTTGTTTGAAGTTGCTGCAGTTTGAATGTGAATAGGCTTGAATGATTGAAGGTACATTGGTCAATGCTTTGGATTTCTTGGATTGGGTTTTATTTTTGGACTTTGTTTGGATAAAACAGGATGGAATAGAAATGTGCTGTCATTCATTCAGTGAAACTCTTTGTAGAAGTGTAAAATAGGTTTTCTTTTCTTTTTCTGTTGCCTTGAACCGACTAGGGAGCCTTTTTATCTCTCCAGTGTTGTACATTTTACTTCGCACCCTTTTGCTGTTTAGTCAGATGTGTTTGCAGAATCTGCTTAAATATTAAAGCTAATATATAAACAGCTATGTAAGCATTATTAAGAGCTCATTTGCTCCTTTACTTCAGCAGCACTAAAAATAGGGTGCAGCCAGAATATTTCATTCCCCTGATAGGTTTAGTTGCACATTATTCCTCAAAACGTTGCCAAGTCCAAAGTTCAGCTTAAGGCGGGTTCCTTCGACTCTGCAGTGCTGCAAACCCATGCTGCGAGAAGAAAAGCTTATTTAGGTCTGTTGTCCCTGTCATGGAGTCACCTGCTGAGAGGATCGCACCCATGCTGTGAAAAAAATAAAACAATGCAACAAAAAACAGAATGGAGTTATCACAAAAAAATGTTGCTTATTTGAATGTTTTGTCATTGCTTCCATGGAAGCTTGACGCTTTATGTTTGCAGGCAGCACATTGTAGATAGTGAGGGTTTAGTGCTGAGCATGCAGACATACATCCAGTGCTCAGAAGTTAGTTTCATTAAGACATACCTCTTTTTTTCCTCTCAGTATTCAGTGAGAATTTAAAAAGATACGGTAAATAAGGATGAAGAAGCTGACCTCTTGTCAGTGAACAGTTTCTGGAATTAATTAGAAAACACTCCTTTAGCCTTAAGGAAAGTGACTGAGAGGTTTATCCAGCGCCGGCTTCTCATTACGCAATATGAATTGGTATTAGTTCAGTGGGCCAGCTCATGTTAAGCTGCTGCAGCCAAGATTGAGTCGGTCTCAACTAGTAAGCAAAGATGTTTATTGCTTTTGAGCGATGAAACTGATGTTTATTAGGAATACATTTGCATGAGAATTTGTTTGAGTGTTACACATTCAATATGGTAAAAGGTTCTGCACTGTAGGAATCTGCAAGGAAGGAAGGAGTTAATTGCTTTCTGTTGAGGCTGAAAGTTTATATGCTGTCTCATTTTTGAAGAAAAATGCTCATGTTTGTGGAATCACCGTAATTTTCGGACTATTAGCCGCACCTGAATATAAGCCGCAGAAGCTAAATTGCATGATTTGTACATATACAAGCCGCACCGGACTATAAGCCGCAGGTTTCACACAAACTGTCTTGCGTTCGCAATGTCCGTCTTTCTCGCTGTCGTTCTGTCTCATACCACTCGCGGTGGAAGTCTGCTTCCGGAGGACCTCCGCATTCCCACACACGGCTACCCGTACTTGTGTGTTGAAGCAAATGTGACGTCAACATGGCGGATGATAAAATCTGTCATGGTTTTGGTTATGTTATGCTTTACTTTCCTTCTTGTTTTCTAGTTTTATTGGTTTAATTCCTATTTTGTTGTAATTTCTAGATTTATGTTAGTTCTCATGTTGTCCTCTGTTGCCCTCTTTTGTGTGTGTGTGTTCCTTTCCTCTTGGCTCCCTCGTTGTCTCCTCTCACACCTGCTCCTTGTGAGCTTGTTAGCCCTCCCTTTGTCTCTGTCAGCTATATATGATCTCCGTCTGCTTTCACTCTTTGTTGGTTCCTTGTTGTTGCTGGTCCTGTCTTCGCTGTAGTCGTCTCCCCTCGTCTCTCCCTGGCTCCTTCTACGTGTTTTCCCTTGAATTCTCCATGGTTCTGGTCTGTTACATTTTTAGTTGGATTTTTGGACTGCCTTTGTTAACCATTTTCATTAAAACGACAAGTATTCACCTCTGCCTCTGCATTTGGGTCTACCAAACCACAACCAACCATGACAAAATCCATAGATTTAGTTATTACCCAAGTGGCCGTTAGCTGTAAAAGTCCATAGATAAGCCGCATTGTTATATACACCGCAAGGTCGAAAAATGGGGGAAAATTTGGGGCTTATAGTCCGAAAATTACGGTAATGTTTAAGCTAAGGTGTTCATGTGTTTGGTGTGTGCCTGATTTAAGAATGACCTGACAGAGGGACCTTCACCAGCAGCCTTGTTAAACGTTTTCTTACCAAAATCAACTAGGACAATCATTAAAAAGGAAACGTAAGTTTTGTTTTTTGTTTTTATTACAAACCCTAGACATGTGAGACAATATGAGGCAATCAGCAGTGACATTTGCATGGCATATGTGGTCATAGTCAGAGTTTTAAAGAGGTATTGGCTGCTGGTAAGAGTTCACTCACAGCTGTGTTTCTGCAAAGTTTTTGTCACGAGAGGTTGCCACACTGCACTGCTGAGCATCTGAGAGATCCTGGCTGCTAATTTGTCACTGATCGACCTTCCAAAGGACTTTATTCTTTCATATTTTGTTTATAAAATTCTCTTTTTCAGATTATATTTTACTGATCACCGTCTCTTCAATTCTGACCCGATACAACGGTTGCTGCTTAAGTCAACAGTTCACACAGTGTAGTTCACAAAAAACACAACCTAAAAGGGAGAAATTTGAAAATAAAAAATATGAGAAACTGACGTTTAAAAAAACAAAATCTGAGAAAAAAAAAAAGCTAATTTAATCTCAGACCTTCTTTTTTGATTTGGAAGTTTCTTTTTAGATTGCATTTAGCTCTATTTAGAAAATGTGTTCTAACCCTAACCTTTTAAAGAAATAATGGGACAAAATTCACTCCATATTAAACAAACCCAAAAACTTTAAACCTGTTAATGGAGTTCCAGGTTCCCACTTATGTAGATAGCAGTGTGGCTGCCTGTACTGATTTTTATGCTCTGTTACTGTTTTTTTTTTGTTGTTGCCTTTTTTCTCCCTCGAAACAGCAGCACATTTTCTGAACTCATCTTCTGAAAAGCTTCCTGCCATTTACAAGCAAAAAAAAAAACAAAACTGTTCATCTCTTGACCTTGAGGTCTTCTCTTGACTTCCGTCTCTTTACTCCTGCCCTCTTTGCGTCTTTTTGGTGTTCTCTCTTCATCTAACGGGGATGTTTCACCAAATTAACATTTCTTGGAATAAGCCAACGTTCAATGAAAATTTCTTGAATCATCTATCAAGTCAAAGGTAGGAACTTTTACAATACATCACCTGACTAGTTCATCTGCACAATCTATTCTGACAATCTTTTTTTTTATTTTTTTATCCTTCAGTATTGACGTTTAATACCTTTCTAATATGGCATACAATTTCCATGTTGTGCATAAAGATACAAATTCCAGAGAAACTCAAGAAAAGGCAGCGTTGTTGTATAGAAACTTCCATCTAACAAGTGAAACGCTGCACAGCTGCATAGCTTTCATGTCATAAATTATACACGTAGAAGGAGAAAAGCAACACTTAAATGGCGCCTTCAAAAATAGTCAAGAAGTAAAAGTGATTGGCATTTCTTTTGATATCCTCTGTGTGATAAGAAGCAAACAGCCAAGAATAGAGTAATTATTTTACCTGTTGTCCTTTTCATGTGAAAGTTACGGAAAAGTGTAGAAGAGCTTTTCACTGGGTGTTTCTTCCTGTGTGTGTGGACTTTAAACAGCAATAAGCTTTACCTGAATAAAAAGAATATTTTACTTTACTGGATGCCGAAAACCCATATGCTCACAAAATGATTGTGTTTGTGATGTAAACATTATTCAGTGTCGAAGGGCTTTTGTATTATTTCCTCTACATGAGCCCTGAATCATTTGTTTTACTTGGGGAGGAAAGGTTGTCAAAATTATTGACACTGCAGTTATTATTATTTATGAATTCAGATGTGCAATTCAGCAGAGAGGATGATTCACAGAGATATAAAAGGCTGCATTTTCTGGAATTTTTCCTTCTTTATTAAATGGAGTCGGTTGTTGGTTTAAGGAAAATCAACAGTGCTTTCCAAAAGTATCCATACAAACTTAACCTATTCATTTTTTCTCCATTTTATCGTTATTACAGTCTGCTTTATTGGAATTTAATACCATAGTCCAACATGAGGTAGTGCATTAGTAATGCACTGGTATGAAGGAAATGATTGAACAGAAAACAATTGTGAAAAACGAGGTATGCGTTTCTACTTCGGGAGCATAAGTAAATAACCTCCTTTCCTTTGCTGAGACTTTCCGCCATATCTGAGAATCTAAAAGTCACCTATGTTTAGTTTTTGGAAACAATTAGAATTTCCTTCAGCTGCATTTTCCAGGACAAAAGTTTTCGGTCATGGGGTAGGATTATTCCGAGCTTCTTGAGCGGCAGGGTTGAAGCAGGTCGTTCAAACTAAAGTGCAATGGCGGAGGGAAGCTGCAAACATTATTTAAGGCGTGATATATTTTACCTTTTGTGAAACCTAATCAACTTTTAAGATACTTTAACACATTATATAGAGATGAACTGTATCAGAATTTAAACCAATATTCGATACACTAATATTTGACAACTCTATCCATCCATTTTCCATCACGCTTATCCCAGCTGGGGTCGCCAGGGATGCTGGTGCCTATCTCCAGCTGTCTACGGGTTAGAGGCGGGTCCACCCTGGACAGGATGGCAGTCCATCGCAGGGCAACACAGACACAAACAACAATTCATGCACACACTCTTACCTAAGGAGAATTTAGAGAAGCCAATTTAACTTAACAGTCATGTTTTTGGACAATGGGAGCAAGCCGGAGTACCCGGAGAGAACCCACGCATGCTCAGGGAGAACATAAAAACTCCATGCAGAAAGACCCCTGGTGGGGAATTGACTGCAAGGCAGCAGCGCTACCCACTGCGCCACTAAGCAGCCCTATTTGATAACTCTACTGGTAAATAAATCATAATGAATATTTCCTAGACCTACTTACAGACCA